GCCCGTTTGACAATGCTAGTTGTGGTTATAGTTAGTATATTTTTAGTATATATTGCGTTTTTTGGTACATAACATGTAATAAATCGGTTTATACTTGTTTTATAATCTATAACGATTAATATAACATATAAGTATATATATATATATATATATATAGAGTTTTTTGTTTTTTATTTTCTTATAAAATATGCAACCACAATATAAATAATTTTATTTATTTTTTATTAGTATTAATAGATAATTTATAATAAAAAATAAAATTATTTTTACTTTTGTATATGCAATATAGATGTCAAATTAAACCTCGTTGAAAGGTGATTAATTCGATATATTATATATAAAAAAATGATAACAAACCAAAAAGTTATTAAGTTTTGATAATTGTTGGTTTTTTGTTACAAGCAAAGTTAAAAAAAATAGATATGAATGGATATTGCATCCGTTTTTTTTGGTTCTGGTTTTTCAAATTCAACTTATTTCGTGTCAATGCTAATCTTTTCTACTTGATCGTATATGTGCAATTTTTTTATATTTCACATAGCATGCATGTAAATTGGCCTTTTTTTTTTCTTCTGTAACAAATTCCATTGTTGACAACATTTCAATTGATTCCAAATTATTATTACCTAAGGTTACAAAAATAATCCTAAGTATATGTAAAAAATTTAATTTTTCAGCTAAGGTTTAAAATAGTAGTTTATTTATTTTTTATTTTATTTTATAATTATTGATTTGGTTTTATTTTTTCAGGATAAAACAAATTGTATCAAGGTTTTTTATAGAGATTAAACGACTGAAAAATTTACATAAACAACTTTTTTTATAGATATTTGATCAACCAGATAATTTATATATATAACAGCTAAATTATCTTAAAAGCAATCCAAAAGTTTTGTTTTGTTGCTACAACTTAAAAATAGTAAGAATGTAAATTTTAGAACACAACAAACGAAATATTAAGTTTTGTAAAAAAAAAAAAACACTATAACAATAATCAAGTAACATTAAAAAACTTTTTATCCATAGAAAAACTTTATACGCTATTTATATTATAGTAAGACATTTAAATATTTATTTAAACTGATGAACTAGACGATAAAATCAGATGACTCATTCATATTATAATAAGAAATTTAAATATTTATTTAAACTAATGAAATAGACGGTAAAACCAGATGACTCATTCGATACGATTACCAGTATTCACTATTTACTATTTAAAACAATATTCCATATATATATATTAGTTTCAAATTTCAACTTTCAAGTACAATTTGAAATTGAAAATACAGGCAACCACCAGGGCTAAAAAGGTCAAAAACCCTAATTCAACGGATCTATGCAAAAGCGTCCGCCATAACCAATTCAAAAAGTTTCAAAAATCTCATCTTCTTCACCATTTTCCTGTCTGCAAACGATAATTCTTATCTCAGATCTAAAACCCTAATCAACCTTCAACGTTTTCCCTAAATAACCCTAAATCTTAACTCCAGATTTTGAGACTATTTCGAAATGATTCGCAGTTCAATTTGAAAATTTTCAGCAAGAAGAAACAGAGTCGATTCTCGTCTTCCCCCAAATTTCTAGCAGTAAAAGGATGGGGAAAGCAAGCGATGCATTTAGTCTTCTGTAACTACAGATTTCTATTCTCCTTTTGTTCTGCTGTTCACTGATTGTGTGTTTTTTTTTTGCTCGAGTGCGAATAGAATTTGAAAACCCTAATTATTTCTAGTCCTTCATGGCTACCTTCAACCAGAACAAGCCTCCGTCTAGTATTTCACAGGTGATTATTTCTGACCAATTAATCTCGTCTGTGATTTAATTTCTTTTGAGTTTGTGGGTTTCTTCAATTCTTTGTTAATTACCATCGATCAATATGTTTATGCCTGAAATTTTTTCTTCGAGCTTTTAGTAGTAGTGTCTTACGAATGCCTCATTTTACTAATTTTACGAGTTTGTAGGTACTGATTGAAACTGTTTTTCCCCTTGAGATTAGGAGTTGTACATATGTGATTCTTAAATATTTATTTATTTTGGCCTGATTCATGCTAATTTTCCTTTTGTTTCTTTCTTTGTTGGGGTTCTGCTGGTTTCTGCAGAATAAGGATAGTGTCGATAAGGTTTCTGTAGATAGGAGACGGAAAATGCCACTAAACACTGGGATAAGAGTGAGGAAAGCATTTTCAGTAGTAAATGGGGGCCAATGTCTACCTCAAGTTAGTGGGCCACCAAGCAGTTCTGGTTCAGAATGTGGAGTAAGTGAGTTTACTAAAGAGGAAGTCGAAGCTC